ATATACTTTTTTATTATAGATATAATATATATTATATTAATTTTTTATATATTTTTAATATATTTTTTATACATTTTTTTAGATTTTTTTTATAATATCTTATAATTTTATAATGAAAATAAAAATAGAACAGTTTCTAATTTTAATAATCATTTTTTTAATAAGACTAATCTTAAATATATATAATTTAAATTAAAAATAAATTTAAATTTAAATTTAATAATAAACAAAAATATATGAACTTTTAATTAAAATATATATTTTTTATCAAAAATGTAAAACAAAATACAATAAAAATAAATAAATTAATAATAATATTTGAACAAATTTAAATATAATTAATAAAAATATTTTTTTAAAAATAAATAATCATTTAAAAATTATTTAATTAATATTTATTATAAATTAAAATTTTATAAAATTTATATATTTATTTTATAAAAAGAAAAATATTATATTATTTTTATACATTTAATTTAAATATTTTTTTAAAACTTTTTTTTTTATTTTTATATTTTAATTATTCTAATATCTTTTCATGAGTGAAGAAAACACTAAATAGAGAATTTCCAACATTCGCTTAATGAGAGGTTAAAATAAAAATTAAAGTTTTTTTATTACAATTTCATTTAAATTAGAACGTTAAGAATTAGATAAAATACTTTAAAAATATGACGTTTAATGGATAGAAAAAAATGGAAATATTAATATAAATGTAAAAATTTTTTCTTTTAAAATGTATTTATTTTAATTAATGTTAGTTTAATTTTAATATAAATAATGAAATATAAAATTTAGTTTAAGGAATAATTTAATTAACATCTTAATATCCATTCGAACAACCTTTAATTAAGTTTAATCTATAAGTAAAAAAATAAAAATAAATAAAAAAAGACATAAAAATAGGGTTAACAAGCAGGATTTTTTAATTATGATGAATTCAAATAAATAGATTATTATTGTGAAAAAAAGTATACTCCAAAAATGACAATAGCTGATATAATTTAAATGTAATAAAAAAATTTAAAATATACAATATTTATATTTTTGTATATAGGATAGAATAATATGGTATTTAAAATATAAAATCTTCAAAGAACATAATGAGTGATTCTATTTTAAATTTAATAAATACTCTACGATAATATTTAGATTCTAAAACATGTTTATTAACAATTTCATTAATTTGTATATTTTTTAGAATTCTGGTAGGGTTAGGTCCTTATTCTGGTTACAAATAATCACCAAAATATGGAGATTACGAAGCCTAAAGACATTGGATGGAACTTACAGTTAACTTAAATCCAAAGGAATGGTATGTATAAACATTAGACAATAGTTTTGACTATTGGAGAATAGATTATCCCCCTTTATCTGCATATGTTAGTCTAATTTTTGGTTATATAAGTTAATATTTAGATCCATAATCTATGATATTATTTTATAGTAGAGGTTATGAAGATTATAATCATAAAATATTTATGAGAATGAGTGTTATTGCTTGCGATGTATTAGTTTTCTTTACTAGTTTATATAAAGTTTATTAAATTGAAATGTAGAAATATGGTTTTACGACTAGAAATGCATTGTTTTTTGTTGCTTTAATGTGTCCGCCTTTAATTCTTATTGATCATGGACATTTCTAATATAATTGTTTTTTACATGGGCTCACATTATGGGCTATTTATTTTTGCTGTAAAGGATAAGTTTTAGTCGGGGGCATTATTTTTACTTTGGGTATCAATTTTAAATAAATGGGGTTATATTATGCATTATCTTTTTTTTCTTTTATTTTGGGATATCTTTCTTTTGATTCTGGATTTAAAAGTAGGGTTTTGTACAAAGTAAAAATATATTAAAAAATATGTCATAATTATTTATTTTCTTTAGTATGATTTTTCTTGTTTCGCTTTATTTTTAATAAGAATTATTTTTGTAGGTTTCGGAGTTATTCTTACTACTGTTATTCTATGGATTCCTTGGATTACTAATGGCTATTTATTATAATAATTAATTGAAGCAATTTTTCCTATTAATAGAGGATTGTATTAATTAAAAGTAAATTTAAAATATTTTCATTTATTAAATTATTATATAAATAATATTAAAATAATAAAAGGTTGCAAACTTTTGGTGCTTCTCAAATATTTTTATTAAATGGAATAATTATTTTAATTAGCAAACTCTTGTTTACATTTCAATATTTTTGACTTTAATTTTGAGTTTACCTAGCATGTTTGTTATTTTAAATAGACCTAAGTTTAAATATATGAGATTTTGCTTATTTAATATAAGTATGAGCTTTTTTTTTTTCGTATCATGTACATGAAAAAACAATATTAGTTCCATTAATACCTTTATTATTATGTATAAAAACTTTAATTAGTATTATTTAGATTTTGTTAATTTTAGTTGTATTACATTGATACCTTTAATGAAAGAAGATAATTAAGCTTTGAATTTATTTATTATGGCTATTCGTAAAATTATATTTTATATTTATATTTATTTAATAAAGTTTATCATTATTTTGTTCATAATCTTCTAAAATATTTGCAATTACATGGAGTTATTTAAAAAAGTTTAATTAAAACAGAGAAGAAACTTTATGATTAATCAAATATCTTTGATTTAGAAAATAAAAAAATATTTTAGAAAAATTACTTATTATTCTTAATCATATATACTTTAAGCTTTATAGAAAATTTTTTTATATTATTGCTTTGATTAATTTAATTGCTGAAAATACTATGAATCCGCCTGAAAAGTATCCTTTTTTATTTTCCCTTATATATGCAATGACTGGATTTGGAATATTTGCCTACATTTTTATTTAAAGCAATTTATATATGATTAATGATTATATTTATTCTTATAGAAAATAAAAAATAAATATATAAAAATATGATTGAATTCATTGAAAAAAATTTAAAATAAAATATTTATATTAAACATTTAAAAAAATATTATATAAAAGTATTTATTAAGTATTTATATAAGTAAATACATAAATACATATAATTTATAAAAAACAAAGATTACATATAAAATTGAAATGTTAAAAATCTATGAATCAAAAACTCTAATATATTAATAAAAAGATAAAAAAAAAATTAAACATAGATTAAGAATATCAAAATATAAATAGTTTATAAAAGAATGAGATATTTTTATAATATTTTAATAATAAATATAATAATTTAAAAAAAATATATATATTTAAAGAATAATTAAAAATTTATTCATTAATTATTTTAAAAAAATAAAAAAATATGAATATTATTTAATATAATAAAAATAAAAGCATATAATTTTATAGATTTTATAATTGAAAATAATATATTATTCAATACAATATATTAAATTATATAATAAATATTTAATAAAATACTATAAAATTAAAAAAATATAAAAATAAATATATAATAGAAATATAGAAATATATATGTAAATATATATATAAATAAAAATAATATATATATAAATATAAATATAAATATTTTTTTTTTTTTCATATATTTATTTATTTTATTTTTAATTAAATTATTTATATTTTAGTTTAATTTATATTTATTTATTTTTTTATTAATTATTGAAATCAGATATTTTTTTAATTAATACTTTTATTTTTTATTATATTTTCATTCTTAATTTTATAAATATATACAATTAATAATTTTTTTTATTAAACAAATATATATTTATTTTTTTAGTATTTATAAATATATATATTTTATATATATAATATTAAATCTTTATTTTTTTTAATTTCTAAATTAAAACAAAAATATTAATTTTTATATATTTTATACTTATTATATAAAATATTTAAAACAAAATATTGTAATAAAATTAATATATTTTTTTTATTTATTTATTATATCCTAATTTTTTTTAAATTATAATAGTTTATAATTTATTAATTTCTATATAATTATTTATTATTTTTAATTATAAATTAAAATAATTTTATGAATATTTTTTATAACTTTTAAATATCTTTTTTTAATATAAATAATTAATGATTTATTTTAAGTATTTTTTATTTAAAAATAATAAAAATAAATATTTATAATTTTATATAAAAATATTTAATTTTAAATTTTTTAATTATACAATTAAAAATGTTTTCTTTTTAATTTACATAATAAACTAAAACTTATTAAATATTAATATCGTTTTTTTTATATATTTTAACTAACTTAATGTAAATTAAATTGCTATTTAGTTTACCTAAAAAAAAATTAATTATATTTAAAATTATGAAGTTTTATTTTTTATTAATAATTAAAAATATTTATTTAATAAAAGATCCAATTTATTTCCTATATAAATATAATTAAAAAAATGATAAAAAAATTAACGAACTATGTTGTAAAGCAATAATTTTTGACCAATAACAATTTAATATATGGATGTTAAAATGCTTTATAAAATTATGAATTTTTTCAAAATTAATTTAAAAGCTATCAACATACTATTAGCTAATCATTAAAAGGCAAAAATTAAAATTACATATTAAAAGTTTTAATATCATTAACAAATATGAATATAAAAAATGAAAGTATAATAAATGATTTACTTAATGAATTAACATAAAATAAAAATCTTATTAAAATAAAGAACTATTAAAAACTATATTAATTATCAAAATCATTAATTGAATTATCATAAGAGACAGCATTTAAAGAAAAATGCATTTTAATTTTAGAAGAAATAAGCAATAATTATTAATATTTAAAGTATGAATAATTATTAAATATAAATAGTTTGATAAAAAGCAAAATTGACTTAAAAAATAATATTAAATTAGAATCTGTATTATCAAAATATTTGAATATTTCAGAAGAAGAATTAAAAAATGAGCTATTTGCAAATGAAAAAATTAAAATAGAATCTAATAGTTATACAATATTAAAAACCAGTCTGGAATAAAATTAAATCACATTTATTAAAAACTCTACAAACTAGTAAATAATATTATATGGAGCAGATTTTTAAGAAGAAAATAATTATTAAGAATTTCTATAAATCCTTAAAAATAGCTAAAATACAATTAGTATGCTAATAGTTTAAGATGAATATGAAGAAAAAGAAGAAAATTAATAAAAACAGATTTTTTAAGGATAAAATTTGTAATAATTAATATTATAATTGTTCGAAGATGAAAATTTGAAGTTTGATTTCAAAAGAAATGTTTTCATTAATAATAATTTTAAAAGTATTGATTTTTTATCTTCAATATTTTTAAGTTTCGTACTAAATTCATAATCTAATAGCGAAAATCCTTCAAAAATAATATTTGCAGGAATGCCAGAAGAATAATATATAAACGAACTTGCTATGAAAATTCCTTTAGAGAATTTAAATGAATTAATAGATATGTATAAAACCATAAATATTGTGGATAAGTTAAATTATTGTCATAATACAGTCTTTAAAATAGGATGTCCATAATGTAATCCTATTTTATATAATTAAGTAAAAAGTTCGGAAGTTTAAAAATTACCTGAAGAATTCATTAATGTTTTTTAAGGAGAGGAAAAATACTTTCCTTAAAAAAATTAAATTAAATATTTCGTATAAAAAATTGATTAGATTTTAAATGAAAATGTAAATTATAAAAAATGCGTTGTTGTTTGTAATTAGTAAGATTTGTTTCAAATAGTTTCTTCTTTCGGATCTTTTTAAGGTAAAGAAGATGATTTGTTAAATATACGTTTCTAATAAAATCTTATAATGGATTTTTTTAAATTAAATCCCGATTTGATTTAATAAAAATTAGCTATATTGGAAACTCTTACTGATAATCCTTTTAGTTCTTCTACTAATTTCTTGTTTGAAAAATTCGAAAATCAATTTGATTTTGAGGCTTATAGTAACTATCTTAAATAATATAGCGAATATACATAAATAATTGATACTCAAAATAATGACCAAGTTTTAAATAAAGTTGATTTTATTTAAACTAAATAATGTACTGTAGATTAGCTTTTATAACAAAACGAAAATGAAGATGAAGAAGATGGGATTGAAGAATATGAGGAAGAAATAAGTTAATAAAATCAATATAAATATATTATTGAAAATAATGATAAAAATATTAATTTATAATAATAATAAAATAAAAAAAAAACTATTTTATAACTAACACCTTCTTAAATTGATTATTTAAAAGATATATTAAACATTATTTAAAAGAAAACTATTTTCTTAAGCGAAAAGTAAATAATTTAATAAAGTAATAAAAAATAAATAAACGAAAATTCATAAAAATAAGAATAACCTAAAAAATATAAAATTAAAAAATAAAATAAATGATCAAATTATTTTTAAGCGATTATTAAATTTATATTATATTTATATAATTATTAAATTTTAAAATTAACTTGCTTTAAGCACCAAAAAATTTTTAACAATTAACTAATTTTAAAGTAATTAATTATCTTTAAAATAAATATCATTATTTTTAGCAAATATATAAAGTAAAAATAAGGGTTTAAAAATCATCTAAAATTGTTATTTTTTTGATAATTTTTATATTTTTATTATTATAACAAATGCTAATTAATATCAACTAAACTTCTAAAAGTTTTAAGAAAATTAGTGCATTATCGAACTTATTTATTTATAACTAGATATTATCTTAAATACTATTGAAATCGAATGAACACCACTATCAATCGAAAGAATTTTTTCTATTTTATAATATACAATATTTTTTAAAATAACTTTATCAGTCTATAAAACTTAATATATTTTTTATCAGAAGGCTAATTAAATTATTATTTATTTTAATAAATCTTATTAAAATTATTATTATTTTTAAGATTAATTAATATTATGATTACTATAACTTTTAAAAAAGTATTACAAATGATTAAAATATTATTAAAATATTCTTAAATTCTGCTTAAAAATACAATTGAACTTTTTATTTGATTACAAACTTTTTTTATTTTTCCTAATAAAGGATTAAATATTTAAGCAGTATTATCATCTATCTATTTCTTTCACTAAATTAAGTTAAATCTTATTTAATAACTATTTTGTATAAACTTGCTTAAATTAAATTTTTCATATTTAATAAATATTTTATTTTTATTAACTATATAATTTTTATTTTTTTTATATTTCAATATTTTAAATTTAGAGAGACTATCATCTATTATTTTTTTTGAATCGGTTAAACTCAAATTTTTTTCAGATAATATTTATAGCGTTAGGATATTATTCATTTCTTAATTTTAGGAATATTATTACTTCCTTCTTTCTATTACGTTTAAAATTATGATTTTAGGTTTAGATTTTACAATATATTTATATTTTTTATTCATTATTATTCAAATTTATATTTTTTTATTTTTGATTTTATACTATTAAGCGAATATAATCTAAAAAGAAAATGCTTTTTTTATGTTAATATATTGAATTCTAAGTTATTTTTTTCATAAAATTAAAAATATATACTTTAATATTTTTATATTGAATTAATATCAAAATTTGTTTAATATTTTTAACTATATAAAATAAAAATTATAATATTTCCAGTTTATTTTTATTTAAAAAAATGAGTTAGGAAGATTAGCTTTTATTAAAAGTAAAAAATAATAAACAATATAAATAATAAAAATGTAATTAGATTTTATCAGTAGGTGATTCGTCAGTAGGAAAATCTTGCTTAATTAAAAGATATTGTGAAGAAAGATTTGTAAATAAATATATAACAACAATTGGAGTCGATTATGGCGTAAAAAAGATGAATATATCAGGAAAGAAAGTTGCTGTATTAAATAAAAATATTATTCAATTTTTTAAAAATAAAATAAATAATAATTTCAAAAATAAAAAGATAAACTTCTTTGATTTAAGTGGAGATGATGATTATTAAGAAATAAGAAATCCTTTTTTTAAAGATTCTTAAGGAATCTTACTTGTTTTTGATTTAGATAATAGAGAATCGTTTTTAAATTTATTAAAATGGGAAAGGATTATGAAAGAAAATGGAGTAGATTTTACAAGATCTATTGTATTTATTGTCGGAAACAAAACTGATTTAAATTCAAAAGTAAAAATATTTAAATTTTTTAAAAATAATATATATATAATTTATTATAAAGTAAATAGAAATGGGTGAAATAACGTAATTTATTAGGAAAAGAGGATGGGAATATTATTAAACATCTGCAAATACAGGAGATGGAGTAAAGGATTTATTCGAAAAGATATTTTATAAATGTGTTGATATGATAGAATAATAAAAATAAAAATTAAAATGAATCAAAAAATGATTAATTTATTTATATAAATATATATTTTTTTTTGATTGGTATAAAAATATATTGAAATAATTATAAATATAATGTAATTTAAAAAATTATCATTTAATTTTTATATATTTTTGTTGTTTTAATATTAAAGCTCTTTTTTTGTTTTAATTTTAAATTTCAAATTTTTCTTTTTTAGTAATTGTGTTCAACATTAATTATTATTGTTAGAACATTAATTTGAATCTTCAGAATAACATTTTTTTTCCATAATCTTACAAAATAAAACTTTCAAGCAATTTTTTAAATTCTTAATATGGACAAATATCTTTGTTTTAAGAACAAAAACTAATGTGTTTACCATTATACTTAATCATTATTTCATATTAATTTTAATCATTTTGATATAATTCAATAATAAAATTGGAAGCAAAAGGGGGAAATAATTCGCAATTTTTATTTTATTTTTTTACAAAAAGCTTTCATGGATACATTCAATATTTAAAATTCCTAAAACGACCATCATAGGTATTAATTATGTATCATGTGCACATGAAATAGTCATTTTTAGTTAATTTTGATTATTAATCTATAATTATAATTAATATATAAAATAAAATAAAAGAATTAAAAACTCTAGATTCAAATTGATCAATTAGATATTTAAAATAAGGAGTAATAATTAATTTAATCTATTCTAATGTATAATATGTTTTAAATTTATAAACAGATTTAAGATATTAAAGAAGTTGGAATTCCTAATCAGAAATATTGAAAGGTTTACCTAAAAACTTTTGGCAGAGAGCGACATCAGCAATATGCGAAATATTTGAAATTTCAGGAATTACTTAGATTTTCATTTTTTTAATTATTTCATTTATTTCATCTGCATACATTTTGAATAGCTCTTCTTGAAAATATGTTCTAAATTTATTCTAATTTATTTTTTATAATTTTTTCTTATTAGGGCATTATGCTTTTAACATATTTAAATATGCACTTTCTGTTTTGATTACAAAAGGGAAAAATCCATTCGGCAAAGCATAATTATTATCAAATTTTTAATTTAATATGTCATCATTTTCATCAAACGTAAATGGAGGAATCAATAATTTTTAATCTATGTCTTCAGGTATACTATATTACGAACCTAAAGGAAATAACCCCACCATAAAGCTATGTGCACTTTATACTGCTCGCTTAGAATGGGAAGATAATATCTCTATTTCCTAGTGATTATATATTAAATTTGCTAACTATTATTTAAGTATATATTCTTTACGCATCTTTTAACCTAAATTATATAATTATCTCATTCCTATTGGAGTTACTTATCCTTCTAATTATTCTTAAAATTCTTTTTCTTATCCGGATAGCAACTCTGTATGTAAAGTATATCTAGCTCCATGTCTTACTATCATTTATATCATTAATAACTTTTTTTCAGATTAACAAAAAAATAAGGAGTTAATTAGAATTAATATTGCTATTAAAATATTATAAAATTTCATTTTTTTTATAAGTTTTTTTATATTAAAAATCTATTTTTTTTTTTTAATAAATATAATATATTAAGAATTATTTAATGTAGTTTTACAAATTAAGTTAACAAAACATAAAAATATTTTATTACTTATAAATGTAAAAAAAAAATTAAAATTAAAACTAAAATAATATTAATATATTTACACATTCAAATATGATATATAACAAATAAATTAAACAATGAGATATAAAGTTTTCATTTTTTCATAAAATGATTTCAAAAAAAAATATTTAGAATAATTAGATTAATAGTTTAAAAAAGATAATTAAATGTCAAATATTTATTAATTAAAAGCTAAAATAAATATAAGAAAAAGCTGATATTCTATTTAATTTATTAAAAAATTTAGAAGTTTCAAATTTATAAAGCTAACTTTTTATTTTAATTATTATTGATTTAAAATGTTAAGAGCATAATTTATTTGCTATAGATATATTTAAAAAGATTAATAATAACTAAATTTTAGAAATAATAATCATTAATTTAAAAAGCAAGTCTGAATCTTTTTCACATATAAAATCCAGTTCAAGTATGTGATAATCATAAATTGATATAAAAAATTAAAAAATAAATTAATATAATATATTTTTGCATATTATTGAAAAGCGTTAGTTTTATTTGGATAAAAAAACAATAATATTAAATATGAATATAAGAATTAAATTAAGTATAATTATATTTAAATTAATATTATTTGAATTAACTGAAATATTTATATTAATAAGAAGAGTATATATTACATTAAAGAAAGCTATATCAAGTTGTAAATAATTTTTTGAACTTATATTTTTATTAAAAAGTCAAAAATTAGTATTGAACAAAATGAGAGAAATATGTTAAAATAATATTCAAAGGCATTTATTTTTATAATTTATTCTTTTTTAATAAACGAAATATTATATCAATCGAAAATATATTTATTTATATAATTATGTTTATTATGTAATTCATAAATAAAAATAAAAAATTATTTATGTTTATAAATGATTAATTCAAATAAATTAAATAAAATTTCTAAGTATTAAAACAAGAAATATGCTTAATTAATATTTTCATTTATCAAGTAATTAAATTAAATATAAAATAAGGCTGCTTGGATTTAGGATTCTGTAAAAGGAAAATTAGAGTTTAATATAAATTACCAGATCCTTAATCTTTTGAGTTTAAGAATGGAAGGAGAAATTAACTTTTCTTTACTTTAAAGAATATATTATGATTTAAAAACAAATTTTAAAGAATATATTCCTTTCACTGATAAAGGAAGAGAAATACAAAAAAAATAGGTTACGTTTTGATAGACAACGCATCTATTTTAAATAAAAGAGAAAGCTATTTTTTTGTAATATGGTTAACTTAATAGATGAATTTAGAAATATTATTCTATTTCAAATCTATTAAATAATGCAATTTTTTTTTTTTCTTAAAAATTTAATGGATGCTTAATTTTGAAATAAAAAAAAGTTTGCTAATTCGATAAAATAAAAATTATGGGAGGTTAGATAATAAATATTATGTTCTTAAAATTTTTCCTTTTATTCCCCCAATGATTGTTAATTTAGATGATAAAATTCATTTAGTTCCAAAATATATTTAAAATTGATGTATGTGAAAATATATTAAAAAAGCTTATAATTTAAAGGTATTAGTTAGAAAAAAGCTATTAAAACATCATAAAATTTCTATGATTGGATTGAATATGTTTTTAATTCTATTTTAGAAGAGTTCAATTTACAAAATAATGATATTTATTTAAAGTTAACAAGAAAAAGAATATGTAATTAATTATGAAAAAGAATATGTAATTAATTATATTATTTAAATAAAAAAAGTAAATTAAAATCAATTATTAGTTGATATGCTTTTTTTTTTTAAACAAAAAAAAAATTAAAGAAATATAAAAAAAACATAATGAATTATCTTTTAATAATTTAATTAAATTTTTAAAATATTTTCATATAAGAGAAGTTATTTATAAAAATTTTATTAAAAAAATACTATCTAAAATAAATGCATATATTTAGATAAAAATATACTTTAATAAATTCATTTTTTATTTTTTTTAGTTTGCTATTCAAATTTACTTCTTAGTTTAGCATCGTTTCTTTGTAGATTTTCCAATTATTCTTTAAATTTTTAAGCATTTTCTATTTCGCCTTTTTATAAATATTATTTATCAATTCTATGATTTTAATCACTAAGTAATTAGCTTTTAATAATTATAGGTTTATATGGTGTAACATATCTAAAATCCCAATATCTCATTCCATCAAATTCAATAAACCCCATATAGCTACCATAACATTTAGAAACAGTTTAATCATTAACTTTAATTTCTCCACAAATATAATCTGAAGGCTTTTTTTTAACTGAATCGATAGAAATTTCAGCTTTTATATTATTTTTTACATCTTAAAATGTAATAGTTCCCTTAGATTCAACTTTCATAGTTCCCATAAAGGATCCTCCATAAATTTCTTTTGCAAAATTATAAGAGATGAATTATCCATCTTTAAATTTAATATGTCTAGTTCCTTTATTTTTTAACGTCAAAGAATTTAATCCCGCATTTGACTCATAATTGTAATTTCCATATTAAATATAACTATTACCTGGTCCATAAACTACAAAATAAGATATTGGAGGATGGTGTGATATTTATTCTGAATACATTTTTGTACCATCTGGATACATTCCTTAACATGTTTCTCCCAAAATAGGATTCAAAGGCTTCAAAAAGCCACAATTAATATAAAAGTTACCTAAAGTAGCACATATTAATAATTTGAATCTTTCAACTAAATCATTAGTTTATGCTGCTAGATTTATATATATTGGGAATAAACAAGTTGCATATAAAGCCTTTTCTAAAGCACTTTAGGGTATCATAGCTCTTATAGGAAAACTTATTTATGTTAAATTAAAAGATCCTGATATAATTTTATTACCAATTTATTTGATAATTTCTTTTCCTATATTCCTTAAGCATTATTTTATTTTCTTATCTTTACACTCTTTTCCTCCTTCTTTGTACGAACAATCTGCTCTACATTCATCATTGGCTTATATTGGTTTAAATTATTTTATATAGGATTCTATTTGTTGCTTTGAAATATTCTTTTTGTGGTATTGGAATTCTTACTTTACTAATGTATATATGACATTTTCATCTTCTTAAAGAATATTTTAATTAGATTCTTCAGTTATATTTTCTAAAATTATTTCTTCCTCATTTTTTATTTGTATTTCGACTTCTTATTATTATTTTTCTTGTGGTGTTTCTTTCTATTATTCGTCTTCTTGGGTTTTTTTAATGTGTACTTCTTCCTCATCTACTTTTTAAATTTCTTATTCATTTTCGCAAGTTTTATTATCTTTGTTAGCGTATTTACTTTTTTGCGCTATCTTTTTTATTTCTTCTTTCTTTTATTTTAAACCCGCCACCATAGATTATGTAAATATATCATTATATTCAACTTTATCTAAGTATTCTGGTAAATTTTCAATCACTTATCCTATTAATTGTTAATCTAAATCATCTTTATAACTAGATTCATCTATTTAATTTACCATAAATGCAGAATTATCTTTTATGTTTTAATTTTCCTATTATGTTATTATTTTTAATTTTTGATCATTCGTATTTTAAAAAAATGGATTTGATCGGACTGTAAAATTGTGAAGATTAAACTTTTTATTTACTTTTATTTAAAAAAATATATTTAAACTAGTATTTAATTTTACTATTCATTTATTAATTTTATTCGTTTGCAGAGTATTTACTAGAAACATCATGCTCATCAAATATACTCAAATAACTGAAAGATTCATCGGATTATTTTTTATTATTTTTAAATATTACTTGAGTATTTTAATAAATTTTTTAAATCAAATATTAGTTAAAATCTTTTGCATTAGTAAATTTCATATTATACGCAATATTTGTCATTCTAATTATTTGTTTTTTATGTATTATTTTTGCAATAAGAAAAAAACAATAATTTTGTATTTATGAATTTAAGTTTTAAGTTTTATGTTTTTATTTAATATTATTATTTATAAATTACTTTTTAATTAATTTAATTATTTTTAGTTATTAATTTTTTAAATAATTTTATGATATAAAATATTATTATTAAAAAAAATAAAAAGAAATGATATGTTTATATATTTTTTTAAAAAAATGGAAAAATAATTTATATTTTAATTTTATTTAACAAAAAATAATATTTAAAAAACCCATTATAATAATAATAATAAAAAACATAATAATGATCATTCTTACTTTAAAAAAAAAAATATTTAAAAAAATAATAATAAAAAAAAATACACACAAAGGGCATTTTAAAGCTGCAAAAACTTAGGGAAGTAAGCTTAAACATATTTTATGGTAAACATGACCACATTATAATGTATATTAAAGATCTAAGCATATATTTTCTTTACAGACTCCACATAATTTATCAAGTGATTCATTTTCCATAGAAAGTTAATTAATATATTCTTCACTTTCTGCAGTTCTATTGTAATGAATTTATTTAGCATAAAGCTTGAATAAATCCCATTTTTAATTTTCAAGAAAATAAGTCCAATTTTAATGATTATGCGCCACGTTATTGACTACAACTCTTTAGTCTAACTTTTTAATAGTATTAAATTAATAAGCAATTCCCCAATTAGGTGATTATTTTAATTTTTTATTTAAAATAGCAGAATATGCATATTTGCATAAATAAAATCCAACTTAGTGAATTTAGAATGCTTAACTAGAATCACACTAAAAGCATTTAAGTCTTGTATTTTCATTAAAATCATAAATACCTATACCAATTGATTTAATAGCTTTTTTATTATTCAATTTGCAAAAAGAATTTTTACATTCATATTCAATATTAATACCTATTTTTATCTATCGAAACGCTTCTCCTTTTTTCTATAGTATGGTTTCATCTGATTATGGATTATCATTTATAATAGGCCAATGCCATTCTTGTATATTATTAAGATCTTCATCTATATTTTTTATAGCATATAATGGGATTTCTCCCGTATAGAGAGGTAAACCGAATCTCATATTGTCGTTTACAGCTATTAGCTTCATGTTATTAGTATTTTCAGTTTATGTTAATATTTTTGTATTTGTAGAAGTTTACTATATTTTATATATTTAGCAAGAGTTTTTTTTAATTTTAGGATCTTATTGACATAATTAGTGTTTAGCATCTTCTATTGTCATTGAAGGAAATACTTAAAGTGTTATACTATTATTATTATTTGGAGTTTAAACTAATATTGAATAATAATCTTCAAAATCAGCTTTAATTTTAAAATATGCAGGAAAGCAATCTCTGTAATAATTAAGGGAAGAATTTTAATTTTACATTCCAAATAATAATTATAGATTTATAGGGTCTGAACTAAATGCTAAATTTACGTATTTAAAAACAATATCAAATAATTTTACAAAGATTCTTTTACTGTATTTATTCTTACGATAAATGCATTATAAATGATTTAGAAATATCGTTTCTACACATAAATATAAATTTATAATCTTGGCTTTATATAACTTCTTATTCAGTTGTTATTATGTATTACTTTATTATTTTATTTAGTTACTCTTTTTAATATGCATCTAAAGTTGATATTTTTGTTAATGTTTTATATGAACCATTATTATTATTATTATTGTTAAAATTATTAATTACATCTACTAAACTTTTTGGAGAATCTCCTTTTATTTAAATAATATATATATTCATCCTTTTTTTATATATATATAAACTTTGATTTTTAAATTTTATATTTTAATTGATATTATTCTTTATCAATAAAAAATATATAAATATATTATAAAAATTATAATATATAATTTATCCTCTTGTTGTTAGTTAAATAAATAAATAATTTGGATCTTTTTATTTAATAAATATTTAATTATTTAAATATTTTATTATTCTTTATTTTTATTTAAATATGTTAATTACGATAGAACATGCCTTTAATAATGTTTATATAATTATTTTATTTATTTAAAAATATTTGGCAACAATTTTTTAAGTTATTAAATTTTGCATTTTTTAATAAAAAATATTAATTTTTTCTAATAATACAAAAAAAATTTATATTTTAAATTAAATACTTTTTTTTAAAGGGGTTTCTTTATTATTGCCATTATCATTAATTTTACTATTATTAAAATTAATATGATTTTGAGTATTATTTTAATTGTTATTTTATTCATTATTATGATCTGTTTCTTTATATTTGTTTAATTATGATGGTTATTTAAAATTTTTATATTTTTACTTTCTTCATTTTTTTCATCAAATATATTTTCTTAATCATTTTAACTTAGATTTTATTTTTAATAATTTTTATGTGCCATCAATATTTACTTTTTTTAAAATAAAATATTATTTTATTTATAATAAATGTATCTTTATATTTTATATCTAAAAGTGTTTTATTTTACAGAATAATCTTACTCCCTATCTAATTTTTTTTCATCTGCACAACAATTACCCATTAATAATTTAACAATGTAAAAAATTAATTAAAAATTATTAAATTAATATAATATTTTAGTGAAAAAAAATTATATAAATATAAATATTTATTAAATATACAAATAATAATAAATAATATTTGCTCATATATATGTTATATTTTAAATATTAAAAATTAATTATTTATGTTTAATGAATATTTTTAAATCGTTTTAAAATTTTATTGATTTGCAAAATTATCATAATTATCCCTATTTGGTTAGTTGACTTTCAAAAATTATATTTATTAAATAGAAATATCTCTTCTTTTTCTAGCAACACATTAACTAGCAATTTGTTAATTTAATTTATATTTAAATGGAAAGCGATGATTTTATAATAATATAATAAATTTTACTAAGACCTGTTGCCTTTGAAAAGTATTTATATTATTTCTATTTAAATGTCCTTAATAATTTTATCTTGGTCTAAATATTTAATTTTATTAATCTTCAATAGCTTAAACACAATGGGCTCAACCTGCTTTTTATTTGAAAATCCCATAGCATTTATAAATTATATTTGGGAAAAGTTTGTTTTAAATAAAATATTAATCCAATAATCCGAAAATTTTATTTTTTTAAGTTCTAATTAATTAACGATTAATTAATTCAAATATAAACAATTTCTTCATATAATATTTTACCTATAATTGCCGTAGAATCTTTATTTAGATAATTTTAATGTACAAATCCTTTATTTCTTTCTATTTATTATATGTTATATGAATTATTGATATTTTCTAAATTATTTTTAATACATTTTTTTTTATTAGACTTTTATAATATATTTATTAAAATAATATAATATATTATTAAAAAGTAAAATAAATTAATTACGTATTTTAAGCCATTTTAGGCTGCTAGAGCATCTAAAATAAACAATAAAAATTACTACCACCAAAAGAAGCAATATAACTAAACCAGAATTAGTGTAATTAACTTTATGTTTTGTATGAAAAATAAATAAAACATCTAAAAATTTAACTGTTTATTTATTCGGAATACATGTTTCTTAATTAAACTTATATAGCATATATAATAAATTTCCTGTATATTTCATTTATGTTTTCGGTTTATTTGATGATATTTGGATTTTATGAGAATAAGCGCAATCACTAAACTTGAAATTTTTCACTAAATTTTATGAATTTATTATTTTTATCTAATGGATTATCATTATATATTATTTTTTTTAGGTCACCATTCGAATAAATAGTTGACATTGTAAATATTGGTTTATAAATGTAAATTTTTAAATTATTTTTTATATTTTATTTTTTTCTAACTTTTCCTTTCAAAAGCTATATTGGATTTTTGATAGTAATTATTTATATATCAATATAAAGCTGCTTCTAAAAATGTAGAAGTTTCTAGATATTGTTTAATGAATAATTATATATATATGTAATGTATAAAAAAAAAGTTTTGTAATACTTATTTTTATTTAAAAAATATTTGGTATAATATTAACTTCAAAAATATATATTATTTTTATCAAGCATTTATTCTATATGCTTTTATAAATTATTTTTTATTTATTTTATTTATATATTCATTTAGTTTATCAATTTATAATTATTTATATTTGTAATATTCTATAAAAAGTTATTTAAAACATATAATTTTCAATATCATAATTTAATTTTATTATTAATTAAACTATTCTCATAAATAAATTTATATATCTTATTTTTTTTGTATAATTACTAAAATAATATTTTAATATATTAAATCAGTATTTTAAAACTAACCTTTTATATGTGACCAAAAAATAATAAAATACTAATTTTATTTTTACCAATTATAATAAAGCTAAAAAAGATTATTAAAATAATATATATTATATGATTGTTCAACACATATAATAATTTAACATTTTTATTTTAATTAATAAAAATAAGATATATAATATATTAATGTGAAAAATATTTTATAAATAAATTATTTAAAAGTAAAATAAAAAGTTAAAATGAAAAATATTTATTATTTTTAATGTATTTTAAAAAATATAAATTAATTTTATAAATAAAAAAGGAAAAAAATAATTATATTAATATATAAATATTAAAGAAAAATAAAAAAAGAAATAAATATATATATATATATTGCATAATTAAAAATATATATAATTAAAATAAAAATAAATGATTAGTCAAACTTCATTAAAGATATCTTATAATTTGAAGCTTTCTAATTTGAATTCAAATGCCCTTGTAATGAAATCTTAATTCAATAAAATTGCTTGGGAATCAAGTAATCCTTACAATAAACGTTGGGAATATAAATTCAAACATTCTTATTATACTTATCCGAGAGATTATGAGCACACACACGTTAAAAAACCTTAAGATTCATGGGATGTAGTACCTTTATATTATGCTTATTTCAAGGATTTTGTTGACAGATGGATTCCTGGAATGAATATGGTGTGGTAAAGACGTAATAGAGTATTTGATAAATTTAATGTATATTTTTTACCTGCAACTTCCTTATTTTTTTATCAATTTGCACACCTAGCGATTGGATTTAAAGTAATAAAATATAATTTGAAAATTGATATTATAAATATTATAAGGTTTTAGCTGCATATCCATTATTCCTTATTTACACAAGAATTAGAGATAGAACTTTAGATCCTGATTTTAAAGAAACGTAAATAAATATAAGATTTTAAATAAAAAATAAATATATATATATAAAAATATATATAAATATATATATATATATATATATATATATATATATATATATATACATATATATATACATATATATATATTAATAAAATGAAAATTACAAAAATTATAATTAAAAAAATCGATAAATTGATTAAATAAATAACTAAATTTATTGAATAATTTAAATATATATAATTTTTTTACATTTTTATTAAAAAAAATTATTTCAGTTTTACATTTGTTATTTTTATTTTAGATATTTGAGAGATATGCTTTACTAAAATTCTGAAATTTCTAAATACTTTAATGAAGAAACTATTCATGTGTTAGATTATGATTTCGAATATTTACCTGGATACTTAGATACTGCTAAATTCCCTGAATATGAAAATAAAGTATTCTAAAATTAAAAATATAAATAATATAAATAAAGGTATTCAGATTCTTTAATACTGATACTTCTTAATGTTAAGGATTTTTTAAATTCGGAGATGTTGAATCAGGTGCAACAATGACTCTTAAAATGAAAACTATGCCAATTCCAGGAAAATATAGATATTAAGTAGGAGAACCTTACTACTTTTATGATTTAAGAGGTATTTTTAGTTTATTTTTAAAATATTAAATTATAATTTTTAATATAAATTATTACCTATTTTTTTTTTTTATTAAATAGCTGAAATAACTCATAATGGAGTTTTTAAAGAAGTTGTTTTAGTTGATGAGAACGAAACATTAAAAAAAATTCGTCCTTACTTATTTTTAATTTGATGGAATTAATAATATATTTTTATTTTATTGCTATTTTTTTATAAATATGTTATTCGTTTAATATTATTTTTACAGACATCTAAAAAAATAATATGAAAAATAAATAAATTTTGTAAAATAATAATCTATTTAATTTATATCATTTATAGTAAAAATTAAATACAAAATTATTTTATTTTATATTTTCTTTTTTAATTATATTAATTCTTTGTTATTTTTTATTAAATTTACAATTTATTATAGTTTTTAAGTGAAAAAAATAAAATATTAACTTTAAAATAAATAATCCACCAAATAAAAGTAAAATTTAATATAATTTTTATCAAAAAATATTTATGACTTTTCTTTAAAAATATATAAATTATATTTTATTATCATATATCATATTAACAAATTCCAAAATTAAGCGATTATAATTTTTATATTTGTAAGAATTTCTTTATTTTTAATTATTATCGTTTGATTAAAATTAAGTTATGTTTTTATATTTAATTTTACAAATATATAGTAAACTAGCAATATTTGGTTTGAATGTTTTGATTAGAAGAATTTAAATTTTATTTTTAAATTTAAGATTATCATAAATAATCTATATTATTTTAGCTTTTCATAGTCATAGTTTCTGATCTTTATTATTTTAATTAAATAAATTATTTTATAGTTATTTATAAAATTAAAAATAAAAAATTAAAAATGGAATTTTAAAATATAGGAAGAATTTGTACTGTCTAAATATGCCATAAAAAAAATTTTTTACCATTTAAATGCAAATTTTGTTTCGCACCTGTAAAAAAATAAATATTTTACATAATTTTTATAATTAAAAAGTATTGTTAAGATCATTTTAAAGTAGACGATCACGGTTGTAAATAAAAAAATAATTTAGCAAGTAAAGCTATTTCTTGTCCTTATTGTTTAAAAACAGTTAAATATTTAGGTTCATTAAATGAAAATGAAGCAGTAAAATAAAAAAAAATATTTTTATTATTAAAAAAAGTTGGATATACATTAAGCAACTGAATGTAATCCAGAAGATATAGAAAAAGTAATGAAAGAAAAAAAAAGTGTATTTTGTGAATCTGAATAGAATTGTAATAAAAAATTAACTACTTTAAACACTTATGTTTGTAAATAGTGTAATAGATAATTATGTTTAAAATGTAGATTTCCGGAAGCACATATATGCTAGAAAATAGATAAACCATTAAATTAAAAAAGACTTGTTTAAATAGAAGATTAATTAAAGCAAATAAGAATCTAAAATTAAATATAATCGAACAAAAATATGATTGGAGGAAATGTTAGCTTAAATAGAGAATATAAAATGAATTTATACTAATAATAATAAAATATGTTCAAATAACAATAAGAGGAACAAAGAAAATAAGAAAAAATAAAAGAATAAAAAAGAATCGAAGAATAAAAATAATAAGAAGAATAATAAGTTAATTAAAATCATTAAACTTAACATAATTAAATATAGTAATAAGATAATTAATAAAAAAATTAACAATTTGAAATATGTAATTAATGTGGATTATAGTTTTAAGATCTTAATTAATTAGTTTAACATATTGACACTTAGCATTACAATTAATAATAATAAAATACAAAATAAAAAGTTGTTAGAGAAATTTGTAATGTATGTGGTAAAAGCTTTATTGATTTTAATGAATTGATTTAACATGCAGAATAAACACATTATATTTAAGGTATTATAATAACTCAATTTATTTATTTTTATTTTTAAAGGCTGATATAAAAAGAAAATAATCGCTATGAATGTATTTTAATATGATTTTATATTCAATATTATATTGTACATTTTATATTTTTCACTTTATATTTTATAAAAATTTGAGCATATTTTTTATTTTTTTCTAGTTTATTATTAGTAAATAAAAAATAATATGTTAATATTCATTTTTTTTTTTTGAAAACTATAAAAAATTTATAGTGAATTATTTAAATAATTTTCAAAAATTAAAAAATCAACTTTAATTTAAAATTTTATATATGTAATATAAATAAAATATTTGTAAGTTTATTAATTAATAATATTTAAATGATATTTTAGAAAAAAATTAAATCAATAAAATATTCCTTAACAAAAATATTAGTATTTATCAAACCTTTTAATAATAAAATAATAATAAATTATTAAAATAAGTACCATTTTGCTCTCCAATTATCTAAAGATTTATTTATTAGACTATTACAATGTATTCCTAATTCACCTGTATTCTCAACATCTTTAGGGTTAAATCTTTATTCTAATTCTTAAATACATTTTTAACCTTAATTTGAATTTTAAAAAAGTAGATTATAATGTGATATTAATAAAATACCTATTTTAAAGCAAGGTAAAGATAATCCATGTCCACTATACATCATTTTAACAAGAACAAGTATTTTATCTTGATGCTTCATTGCTGCTTAAAATCCTTTGAAGAATAACTTTCTAAACTATTAAAAAAGTTCACTATCAATACCTTCTAAAATTAATATATATTCAGAAAGAAATTTAAAGGGAATAATTTATTCAAATCCTTTACCAGGAGCATTTGATAAGAAAAATCCAAAATCAATATGTATAATATTCCCTTTTTTATGTAAAAGTATATTTCCATTATGTCTATCTTTTATTTACAAAAAGTAACAAATTAAACTATATCCTACTAATGAATAACAGAAATTTTTTCTAGCTTCTTTTATATGTTTACCATAGTATGCAATAAAGAACTAATTCAAATCTTAAATATTACTATAGCTTTCATATATATTTTTCTTTAAAGAATCTAATGTTATTGCGTTTTTACACATTTCTATAATTCCTGAATTCGGATCTAATGATAATATTTCATAGGGAGTTAATTTATAATCAAGTCCTTCCATTTTAAAAATTTAATCAAACTAGTATATTAATTACAAAGCAAATTATTCTTATTTTAAATTATCTCCTGTCTTTTTTTAATATTTATATATATTTAATTAAAAAAAATGTTAAAATTACCTTAACTATAAAATGAACTAATTTCCAACTTTTAAAGTGTCCAAAAGGAGACTAATCTTTTATTTTTTTTCTTATTCTTGTAAATCTTCCCCAAAAATATTATATTCTATTTCTTTCTGTTCCTCTTCGTTCATTAGTATTGATTATTTTTAGTTTGTGTCTTGTTTTTAATTTAATAATTTTTGTATATGTTTATTTTCCGATGTTATTTAACTATCTTTATGGGAGTTTTTATTAATTTATTATTTTTAATCGTGTATTTTATTAGCAAAAGAATTATTTAATGTTGACTAATAAACACAACCTAATCCGTTTTCCTATATCATATATATTTATTATTTTTTGTATATACTTTTTTATTACTACTTTCTATTCTTTTTCTTCTTCTTAATTATTATTATTATAACTATTTTCTTAATTATTACTATTATTCATTGGTTCTTCATTAAATATGGAATTAATTTAAGCTTTTTTTAAAAAAAAATAGTGTAAATTTCAAATTTTATGTAAAAAAAACATTGATATTTTTATTGATCTATAGATTTATATCCTTAGGGATTTTTGTATATTTATAATTAATTCTATTTAAAATAATATGAATATAATTTTTATTTTTATATATATTTTTTTTTTTAATTAAAAATAAATAAATACATTAACAGTTAATAATTAAGAAATTTATATATCATTATTCCAAACTGTAGTATGGTTTCCATTTTTAAATGTTTAAAGTAAATAAAGACTTTCTTTATCTTAATACTGCTTTTCTTCTGGTCTAAAAATTTCTAAACAAATATAAAACGGAGCTCTTTCTTTTGTTGAAAAAACTTTGCTTTCCAAAGCAACTATATTAAGTATAGTATAATTTCTTATATTACCTAAATTATAAGAAAGAAAGAAAAAAATATTTAAAATTTTAATAATCAATCAATCAAATAAATATACTATTAAAAAATGGAATATAAGCACATGTTGGTAATTGTTCATTAATTTTCTATAATTCATGTATTAAAGAGATTATTTTAGGATTTGCATCTTTAAGTCTTTAAGCTATTTCTATTAAATCTTCAAAAAAGTTAATAGTACTATCAAAACTAGAAGAATTTTATTCTAAAAAAGTATTTTATTAGTAATTGTTTTAAATATCTTATTCTTTTACCTTTTAAAAATATTTTTGTTAAAGATAGTTATTTAATTTTATATCAGAAGGCTGTATTTGAATATTGGCGTTACTTTTATAATAAATAGTTCCATAATAAGATATAATTTATTATTTTTCAATATCACTACAAATCTAATTATCTTAAAAATTTTAATTTTAAGATATTATATAGTTTGTAATAAGCAATTTATTTTAAAAATAATTTGAAAATGTATATCTTATTTCATTTATCATTTACTTTACTCTTTTTTTATAAATGAAAAAATAAAAATTGATATATATTTATTTTACATATTTATTTCTTAGCATACTGTATTATTTTTATCAATTATTTATCCTACACTCTTAATATAAAAATATAAAAGGTGAGCAAAAAAATAATCTATTTTTCCAGCTTCTATCAATAAGTATTTTAATTAAAGATTATTAAGCTCTTCATGAAAAACTAAAAAATTACAAATCTAAGGAATATAAAATTCTAAGTCATTTCTTTATATATTATTAATTCTTAAATCTGGATTTATTCTTTTTATAATTTACAATAAATTAAAATTTAATAAAAAACCTGCAATTTTCTAATAATTTATATAAATCTTAAGATTAATCTTCTGTATAAAATCTAATTAGTATTTATATTATATTTAAATCAGTTGTAAACTTTTTTTATAATATATAAATTATTTCTTTATTTTATAAAAAAACTTCATTATTTGATTGATTATCATCTTCTAAAAATTACTGTATTAATTACTTTGATATTTATTTTCTTTTTGTAGATGTAAGTAAACTTTTGTCATCTTCCTTTAAAGAAAATTAATATGAAATATAAATTATAAATATATATATATTCTTTTTTTTTTAAATCAACTTATAAATATCTAAAACATTTACAACAAAATATTTTTTAAATAAAATCTATTTTTTATTTAAACAAAAAATAAAATATATAATATTTTAATTTTTATTAATACTATATTGTTTTTTTCTTTTTATAAATATTTATTCTTGATCATGTTAAAGTAAAGGTAAAGAATTTTAAGAAGTAATATTTTATGCTTATTATTTATTAATAATATTATTATTTTACATTTTTCAACAAATAAATATAAATTTATACACTTATATTACTTAAATTTAATTTTTTCCAATTAATATTAAAACAAAATTATTTTTAATAAATAAAGATTAATATTTTTTATTTTGTCTAAATTTATGTTAATGAATGAATTATTAATATTAAATTTTATGTTTAATATATAATATTTGTCAAATATATTTTTAGTAATTTACTTGCTTTTTATTATTTAACTAATAATATTTATTTTTAATATAAATTAAATTTTCCATTTAATTGCAAAAATATCTAAAAATAATTTTTAATAAAAATTCTAATAATATATATAAAACTATTATATTTAATTTTTTGGTTTACTATAAATATTTTTAAAAAAATTTCTACAATTCAAAAAAAAAAAAAAAGTTATACAAAAAAATATTTTATTATCCTATATTTTGAAAAAAATAAAAAAAATTATTAAATAAAATATTTAATTTACAAATGGAAGGCGAATCAATATATAACCTTATTCCTAAAGAATATGTTCCCCCACCTAAAGAAAAAAGGTATAGATCATAATATCCTCCTCATTTAGCTCCTACAGGATCTACATTAATAAATCATACTACATCAAGGCCTGGAGTATGAATAAAAAATATAAATTAAAAATAAAATAAACTTTTATTTATATAATAACAAAAAAAAAATAGGTTGCTAATTTAATTGGTGATTACAGCTTAGTTAAAGGACCTCATTCTCATAAAGATTTTTCTAAAACTTTAGGAAAACTACCAGGTGAATAATTTAAAAAACATTCATTTATATTATTTTTGTTATTAAATATATATTGATTAAAAAAATCCTAATAAAAATAAAGGATCAATATAACCTTATACTAGTGAATATAGAAAAAAAAATACTGGTACAATGGGTTCTAATAAAGTAATTATTATTTTTACTTATTTATATATGTAAACACTTTATATAGTTACCTGATATTTAAAAATTCAAATATCCTGACGAAGATAAAAGAAGACCAAATGTACCTTTAAGGGTTGAAAAACCTTTAATGGGATAAGTTTCTCATAAAAATTATATTGTTAGCAACGCAGTTGAGAATATTCTTAGTGTATTCTTTTTTTTTTTAATAAAATTGTCTTTATTTATTCAATTTAACAAAAAAAATTAATAGGCTCCTAAAATGTTAAAATAAGAATAAGATTATTTAACTAAAAAAGATTTTGGAAAAATTCCTGATTATTTAATCAAAAACAAGGAAAATTTAGAAAATGAATATAAAATGATATAAAATCTTCATTTATCAGAAGCTGAAGAAGTTGAAAAACAAAAGTAAAATAAAATATATATATTTATATAATTAATATTTTTTTTAGATATATGATGAGTGTAGCAGAAGTAAAGTAATTAAGAGATGGATTAAAAGCAAAATGGGAATCTGTTAATAATAAATATCAAACAATAACTCATATTAATAAAATAGATACTATTGGCTTAAAAAGAAAGTAAAAAAAATTAATATTTTTATGTTTCTTTATATTTTTTTTTTTAATAAAACATAATTTTATATTAATATAAAAAAGGAAAGAAGAAAGTGAAAAAGAATTAACATAATTAGAAAAAGATATAGCAAAACTAAATAAATAGTATGTATTTGTAGATACAAACATTTGATTTTACATTTAATATATAAATAATCAATTATGTTAAAAATTTATAAATAACATTAAATACATATCATCAAAATATATAATTTTTTTAATAATTTTATTTTACAAAAAAATTAATTTACACTATTTTTTTATTAATTAATATAACAATCTTAACTTAAAAATTTGATATTTAATTCAACTATATAAAATTCATATTTCTAAAAAAAAAGCAGTACAAATATTTTTACTAAAATACGATAATTTATTTTACAGTATAAAAATAAAGTGAATTAAATAATAAACGTCCTTTTAAAGTTATATATTAAAGCAGTTGAATATTATGTATGATTCAATTAATTAAAATATTATTATATAGATAAATATAATTTTTAAAACCGTATAGAATCAATAAAAAAATACCAAATAATTAATAAGGCAGGTTTATTATTTTATAGTAATAATTAAATTTAAATGCATATATTTTAAATAATTTATAATAAAAATGATTTTAAAAAAATATAAGTGTGATTTAGAGTAATAAATTATCGGGCATATATAATAATATAGAATAAATATTTGAATATTGTTGAAACGTAACTCTGGTTTAATAAGAATTAAACAATAATATGTCTCTAAAAATATAAAACTTTATTTTAAATATTTAATATGAATTTAATTAATAATATTGATTTTAAAAATAATTATTCTGATAATGATTAAATTTATATGATATATATTTAAATATTTTATAGTATTGAATATAAAAATTTATAGAAATAAATTAAGTTAAAAACAAGTTATTTCAAACATCAATTGGATTTTGTATATATAAATCTTATAAGATATTTAGTAAAATATAATTAATTAAAAAAATACTATTATAATTTTTCATTAAATAAATTTTTAAAAAATAAAATAAAATAATTATTTAAAGTTTTATTTCATGCAGTATCAGCATAATAATTAGGAATAACTAATTAATTATCATAATTATGTTTTAATTTATCTAAATTAGTAACACCCGTTAAAACCAAAAAAGTATCAAGTCCTGCATTTTATCCAAGTTAAATATCAGTTTCTAAATTATCTCCTATCATCAAGGCCTTAGATCTATCAATATTATGTTATTCGCAAAGTAGTTAAATAACAAAAGGATTAGGCTTTCCTGTCACAATAGGTTTTTAATCAGTTGCAGTAGCAATTGCATTAACAATAGTACCACCTCCAGGCATTTTTTTATCTCCAACCATAATATATTTATCTTCATTGGTAGCAATAAAATAACATCCTTACTATATATAACTGCTTGCACAAGCCATTTTGAAATAATTTAATTCATAATCAATTCCTACTACTACTGCTCCTACTTCTTTGTCTAATTCTAAATTATTGAATTCATCTGGACTCATTAATTTATTTTTGCTGTGAATATCATTACTCCAAATATATTCAATTCCATAATTTTATAACTCTTCGCATATTCCGGACATACCTACTACATAACATTTTTTTACCAAAGGAAGTTTTTCTTTTATATAACATGCTGCTATATTTGATGCCGCAAACACCTTTTTTTTATTTTTAATTATTTTTTTAATAATTTTTTGAAAATACCTTATCATTTTCAGTTTCAATTTAGTATTTTTTTAATTTTTCAACATATGTTTAACGCGATTAACTACTATTATTTGTTATGAAAAAACATTTTTTTCCTTCACTTTTTAGAATATTATATGATTTTACAGCATTTTCTAATTTTTTAGATCCATTCCACTTTATTTTTTTTTATTTTTTTTTAATTTTTAATTTTTACAAAAACTCCGTCCATATCAAAGAAAAATGCATCGTAACTATCTTTTAGCTCAATTAAATTCGATAACTTTTTTGGAAAATGTCTTTATTACATGTAAATAATAATTAAGGATTTATTTTATAATAATTTTAAATTAAAACAAATATATAAAGATATAATTAAAATAATGTTTTTTAATATAACTTGAAAAAAAATAAGACCCGAAAATAACAAATTGAATAATTAAGGAACCTAAAATATTTTATAATTATATAAACAGCTAATTAAATATATTGTAAAAGTATTTTTAAAATTTAATAAAAGAAAATTCACCGGAAATAATTAATATGTTGATTATTAAATTTCTTTTAATTTAAGTTAAAAACTAATAAATAAGAAAAATAAAGAAGTATATACTCCTTTACACTACTCCTTATAAAGGAAATATAGAAACAATCTAATATTTAATAAAAAATTGGTATAATATAATACTAGAATAAATTGATTATCAGTAATAAATACTGTTGTGTAAAATAATAAACAAATTTATTTAAGCTTATTGAAAAAATATATGTATGAAAATAATGTTTAAAATATTTTTTTTGAATAGTAAAACTATAAAAATGTTAAACCTTTGCATTGTTCTGCTTTTTAGATTCAGAAATTTGTTTAAACTTTTTATTATCTTAAATTTTTTAACTAAATGACAAACATAATATAAAAGAATCTTTTTTTAAATAAAATTAAAGAATGACTTAGTTAAATTTAGCTGTAATTGAAGGAAATTTAAGAATTGTAAAAAAATTACTATTAAAAAGTGCTGATAAAAATAAAATGGATAATTAGAGTTAAAAGGTTGAAAAAAAAAATAAAAAAATTAAAGAATGCTAGAAGAAAAAAATTTGGTTAAAAATGCTTGTATATATAATAAGATAAAAGAGAAAATTAAATATTTTCTAAGATATCTTTATTTATTTGATTTATTATTCCGTTTTTAGATAATAAAAAAAATATTATTATTACTTAATTTAAACATCTCTAAGTTTTTAAGCATTTACATTTATATTTTTTGCTTCGATATCACATATACAAGAAAAATTTATAAAAAATATAGATTATTAAAGTTATAATCTTATCTTTTTTATTAGATAACAAATAAAAAGATGATTTTTTAATTTTTATTGAATGTAAAATTTTTAAACCAAAAAAATCAAAACATTGCGAAGTTTGCAAATAATGTATAAGTAATTGTGTTAGGAGTGAAAATTTTATTTTTTATTTTTAGGGGTTATTTATTTTTACGGGTTATTTTAACTTAGAATATAAGCTTTTAATAATTTATCAAAAATTTTAAATTGGATAAAATAATATTTAATGCCTTAAATATTTTTCTATTATAAGATATATTTTTTTTGGATTTGCTTAATATACAAGCTGGCTTTTTTGGGCTCCTCTTATTTTCATATTATATATTTAGTTTACAAATATTTTTAGTAAACTACTTTTGAAAGATATAATTTTTACTAAAATGATTTTTAACAAAACTAAATAAATGAAAGTAATGAACAAACATTTAATATATAAGCTAAAAAAAATGGCTGATAAGTCATAAACTGTTATTTTATGTGCTTCAAAAATTAATATGGACTAATAATTTGGTTTTTGTTTTTAATACAAATAATAATTAGATTATTAATATCCTAACTATTTAAAAATTGATTTAATAGAATAACAAATTTTATATAAATAATTTAATTATTATTAATAGAAAATTAATTATCACTATTTTTTATTTTTTTAATTACTTAAACTTATAATCCATTCTAAAAATATTCATTATTTCTTTACTAAAATATTTATTTTAATTAATTTACTTTCTCATTAATAAATAATTTCAAAAGCCATAAATTCGCTTTAATATAATAATTAAGTTTCGTTTTAAATAACATGTACGAAATGAGTATTTTAGAGTTTAAAATATTAATTATAATTATAAGCTTGTATTAAATCTTTATTTTTTTCTAAAATATATTTAAATATTTACTAATCTAAATTACATTCATAAATTTAATAAGGAAAAACCAGTGCAATTTTTTGATTTTCCATATCATCTTAATTTTATTATAAAACATAAATCTAAATAATTTATTCATTGAATTCATATATTTTTTATAAATTAATACTTTTATTATTTAAGTTAATTAATAGTTAAACAATTGAATTATCTTTAGTACTATAGTAAAATATGATGTTATTATATTAAGATTAATATACAAAATCAAACTTTAAAATTTAATTTTTTTATATATCTTTCAAATATTCTTATTCTTCTTGATTATTCCAAATAAAAGGAGAAAAATCAAAATTTTAAATATTTAACACTATAATGCTATAAAGTTAATCTATAATTATTAATGTTTAGTTAATTAAATCATATTAAGCATATTTAATTTAAATATTAATGGTTTAAATTTTATTATAAACTTTTTAAATAAAAGAATTTTTTTCTAAAATTTATATTTAATTTTTATAATTTAATAATAATAAATGTTTTCCTATAATTGCAAATTTGTAAATGCTATTTTAAATATCATCTTAAACATTTCTTATATATTATTTCTATTCTAGAATAATAATATTTTTATTTTTATTTTAATCATATTTTTATTTTAAGAGAATTTTTTATACTGATACATCATAAAAAGAAATTAATAATTATACACTATTTTTATCATATTATACTTATATAATATCTAATATTTTACTTTTTGAGTCTAAAAAAAAATTATTTCCAAAGTATGTGTCATCTTGCTATTTTGTTAACATCCATATATTATCGTTATTAGACTAACATACAATCAATATAGAATTTAAAATATCTATAGTGTATATTAACTATATTTAATCAGGAATAATTATTGATCCTAATTTATTTATTTTCATTTACTTAAAATAATTAAATGAGTTATTATAGTTTAATTTTTATAAAATAAAATATATATTTGATTATGTAAAACTATTTATATTGATATATTTTTATTATGGAAAAGCAATTAATTTTCTAAAAAAATCATAATTTTTTTAAATATTGATAAATAATGAAATGTAATTGAAAAATTAGATTTAAAAAAAATATTTTTAAAAAATTTATTCAATATTAAATAAATTTTAACTATTAAGTATTATTTATAAATAAAAAAAAAAAATTAAAAAAATGGAAATTAATAAATTACTATATATAATAGTTTTAATTTCATAAATATCATTTCAATAAGATATTATTGATGAATAACAAGATAAATGTTTTTTAAAAAACTATTTATATTTATTACAAAGCAAAAAAAAATAATAGTATTAAATAATGAACAAGGATAATTAATAAATTTAATTGAAAAAGAAGTACTTACTCAAATTTTTAATGAAGTAGAGTAAGAAAAAATGTAAAACTCTTCTTAAATAGATACCCTTTAAAATACAATCGAAGAGTTAGTTAATCAGTCGATAAAAAGTTAGTTAATTTCAGATATTGAAAACAATTTATAGTCAATAAAAGTAAATAAATATATCTTAAAAATAAATTAACAAAAAAAAAATAGATTATTGATTAAATATAAATATTGGATGATTAAAAAGAATTAAAAAGTGATAAATTTTTATAAAAAGATGATTAAAACTAAATTATGATAATTTAATAATAAGTAGAAGAACAAAATAAAAATTAATTATAATTTAAAACTGATGAAAATATAAAAGAAATACCATAATAAATTTAAGAAACAAATTAAATTGAATTAAATTAAATTAAATCTAAAAAAGATAATAAAGAAATTGTTTAATTAGAAAACGAAATTTAATAATAATAATAAATTTTGTAATAAGAAGAATTATATCATATTAAATAAACAGAATAAATATCTCAAAATATAAATGAATTATAAAATTTTGAATCTATATAAACCAAATTAGAAGGAACATAATAGGCATAAACATAAAAGAATAAATAAGATTAATATAATTAATAATAATATTTATCTTAAAAATAAAAACCTTAATAAGATTAGTAATAAAAATTTTAATAAATAATAAATTAATAATAATAAAAAGTAAATAATAAAAATGAAAAAAATAATAATGTAATACAAGAAACTAAATTAATTAAAAAATAATATGAAGATTAATAAAAATATGAAATAAGTAAATAAAATTTAAAATAAGAATTTAAAAAGGAATAAAACTAAATTAAATAAATCTAATAAAAATTTTAAATAAACTAAGAAAATGAAAATGTATAGTAAATTGATACCGTAATGAAAATAGATAATATTTAAAAAAATATTATAAGTTAAACAAAATAAAAAAAATAATTAAATACTAAATAAAATAAAAGCTTAATTGAATAAAAATTAAATGATGATAATGTTTTAATTACTAATTTAATTTTAATATTTATTATTTTTTTAGCTATTTGTATAATTATATATACTACTAATTTAAGCATTATGATAAGAAAATAAAAAAAATAATATCAAAGATATGATGATGAATAAAAACAATAATTAATATAATGATTTTTTTTTAAATAATTATAATATATTTATTATCAGATAAATTATTTATTTTAATGTTAATTTTTTTTTTATTATTATTTTTTTTTTTTTTTTAATTTTGTAACAATTATAATTATATTAAATTTTAACATATTTTTAAGGATTTATTCCTTTTTAAAGTTTAATAAATTTATTTTTTCTTGTATTTTATTATTGTTCTTCTTTAATGATTTTTAATTTATTTAATAATTATATAAAAATTAAAATAAATATTTAATTTTTATATTTTTTATATTAACAAAACATTTATATTTATTTAGAGACATAATTATTTAAATATTTTAAATTAAGAATATAAATTAATTAAAATAATTTTTATATTTTATATTTTTTAATAATATTAAAAAAAATTAGATAAATTATACAAATATATGGACGAAGAAATTTCTAAAATACCAGAAGACAATTTTTCAACAGGACCATTTTCTTTGCTTTTTAAAGCTGTTAAAGCAAATACTTAAGTACTTATAGCACTTAGAAATAATAGAAAAATATTAGCAAGAGTAAGAGCATTTGATAGACACATGAATATGGTTTTAGAAAATGTTTTGGAAATGTGGACTGAAGTTCCAAGAGGATCTCATGGATAAAAATCAAAACCAATGAGAAAAGAAAGATATCATTCAAAAATGTTTTTAAGAGGAGATTCAGTAATATTTGTTTTAAGAAACCCAAATAAATGATAAATCTAATTATATTTTTTATAAAAATAAATAAATGCATCTGTAATTGCTTAATTTTAATTGTTATTATAATTTAAGTATTTTTATTTTATTTATTGATTCTATTTTTCTTAATTATTTAATTTATATAAATTACATAAAGATAGAATAGGTTATATTTTATTTTAAATTGTGACATTTTTCATTCATTTTTTTTCTAAAATATCAATAATAAATTATTTCTTATATAATTTTTTTTTTTTTTTTATAAAATAATATATTCAATTTTAAATAATATCTATTAATCAAAATTTATAAATGTTTTAATTTATTGATTTCTCTAAAATTAATAAAAATCTCTATAAATATTAGATGATAAATCAATATATTTTTATTATATACTTTGAAATAAATATAACTTTTTTATTTTTTTTATTTTCACTTTTTTTTTTCAAAAATAATTATCAATTTTTTTTTCATTAATTTTTTGTTGTTTATTGAGTTTTTTAAATAAAAAATAAAAATACGATATGCGCAATTAATAATTCATCAAGTAACCAATTAAATATTCTATTGAATTTAATATATATATAATTTTTATACTATTATAAAACAATAAATTAATGAAAAAAAATGTAAGAACTATTTATAATTTATATAAATAAAAAATATATTATATAATAGAAATTAATTCATGAATTTAAATAAGCATTAATATAAGAATTTTCCAATATAATATCTACAGTAAGTATGGTAAGAGATTATCTAGTTTAAGTCGTCTACTATTAAACATTATAACAAAACTTTAGCCAACCTAAGAAATAAATGAAGATTATGAAAAAAATTTGAAAGAATAATAAAATTAATTAAATTTTTGTAATATATTCAAAATACAAATTCATAATATTAATTAAAAAATCTTTTAGGATACTAATAGTTTTAGTAAGAATGATAAAAAAATTATCATATTCTCTTATATTTAATTACTATTCCCAAATAATAGCAGTTTTATCTAGTTTTTCATAATCATTACTGTCATAAATTTAATATAAATCTTAAAAACTATAAAGGTTATACAAGAAATAATTTACGCTTATAATAAAACCTTATTATAAATAACTTTTCTATATATTCATACATTCATGATAATCTATTATGTTGCTTTCTTTCACAAATTATGGGAATTTTTAAATTGTATCACATAGATTTTCATTTAAGACTTTTTTAAAAAATTAATCATAATTTTCTTATTGAAAATGATTATTTGCATCAAGCCTCTTTATTCTATTTTATAGTATTTAAACTTTAGAATTTAGTTCATTTTTTAATTCGAGAAATTTATTTTTATAATATACTTAATTATATATAAGATAATCAGGTATTAATATAAATGATAAGTAAAAATAATTAACTGAGATATTTGATGCAAACTAAGAATTCAATTCATATAAACTTGCTTTATATAAAAAAATAATATAAAATATTAATGATATTTTATTTACTTATCAAATCTATATTTGTATGTGATTCATTATAAAGTGAATTAATAACATAATAATTAATTGTAGGTTAAGCAATAATTAAAGCATAAACAAAAATCAAAAGAATAAATAATTTTGTATTGAATTTAGGAAGTTTATTAGTATTAGAAATTACTTTTTTTTTTTTATTTTATTCCGTTAATATTTTTACACTCTTTGTAGAGAATTTTTAAAACTGTAATTGATTTAATAAACAATATAAATGATTGGGTTATATAGTAGCAAATAACTAAAGAAGGTTTTCTCTTTTTTTTTAAACATAAAAATAAAGTAAAAGTAAAATAGATATGAGTATTAATAAAATTAATATATTAATAATAAATAATGCAAGTGATTAACTTAAAATGAAATCTAAATTATTAATTATTTAATCTTAAACTAAAGATTGGAAAATGCTCATTTCTTTTATAATATTAGAATAATTATCTTATTAAATACCTGTAAGATATAAAAAGTTTCTTTCTTAATCATATTTTAATACAAGAATGTTTAAATAACTTGCAAGAATTTAAAGAAATATTCCTAAAGAAATTTCAAATCTTACTTTTGAATCTTCATTATAATCCAAATATTATATACCTTTTTACATTTTTACTACAACAATATCAGTTCCTAAAATAAATTCTGTTTTTTATTAATTTATATATTAAAAATAAGACTATGTTTCTTTATCTGAATTTACATAATCAAAAATTAATTCATTTAATTTTTAATTAGAATAAACAAGTCTCTCATGTATAATTTAACTTTGATATTATTTATTCTAAGATAGATTTAGAAATATATCCTTTTCAACCAATTTTTAAAAACCAGTATATGCTAAAATAATACTAATTTAATATTTTACATTAATTGCCCAAGGCAAATAATATAAATCTTTTTATATTTGATACATTTAAATATCTATCTTTAAATAGACAAGTATTGTTAGACCCAAAATAACTCCAAAAGAAAAAAAACCAAAAAAATTTATAAATTTAATAATAATTTCATTATTTTTTTAATATATCTTTCTTAAAATTGCATTTTTCTAATTATTATGATATGAATTATTTGTTTTTACTGTACTTTACGCCCTAACTTTTTTTTATTAAAAATCACTATATTCATATGAATCATTATTTTAAGATACATGCTCTTTATAATTTAAAGAATCATTTTCGTTTTAAATTTAAAATTAATCTTAAAATGCTGATTCTTCAATTTCAATTTATATATTTTTTAATGTTGATTTTTTTTATTATAATGCATTAAATGTTTATATATCACTTGCTTATTCTTATTCTTATTCTATTTTTACAATATCTTAATTTGTTTCCTATTCTTATTTATTTTAGGACTCCAAAATATAACTTTTAGTTGTTTATGAGTGATTTTTAGATAATTTAAATTAGGTATCGTGAGATTTTTCTTAAATAAATTTAATTAATTCTTAATATTTGTCTTATAAATTTTAATTTATATACTATTAAATATCAATTTATTTAATTTCATTTTAATTTATTTATTATTGATTATTTAAATTATTAGGATTACAAAAATCTAATAATTATTAATTTTCCATATTATTACTTTAAATTAATGAAAAGCTGCAATTCTTTTAAAAAGATTAATTTAAATTCAATTAAAACTATTAAAAAAAATTCTATCTTTAAGACTTTTAAGAATCATTTTATAATATATTATCTTTATAAATATATTATATATATTATTTTTTAAAAAAAAGTTAAATTAATACTTGTATTTTCATAATCTATATAACTTTAATCATATTTATTTTAAAGAAATTTAATTTCATTCTTTATATCAAATTTAATATTAAAAAAATTTTCTAATTAATTTTTAATTAATTATAATGCATTAATTTATTCTTCTGAATTTTAAATTAATTTCATATTAATTATTTCAATAACAATATATGAAATAAAATTATTTTATTTTATGTGATACTTAAATTTAATATTATATAAATTGAAATTTGTAACTCCATATTTATTTATTTCATTTTAAAAATCTTTGAATTACAAAATTTCAAATAAAGACTAATTATAATTATAGTTAGTTTTTCTTAAATCTATTTTTGGTAAAAAAGCAATTGTTTTTATTATTTATTTATTTAAATCTTCGCTCTTTTTAATTGTGGATTACATCTAGAAATAATTTAATATTGGAATTATTCTATTTAAATATATATTCTTTATGTTTTTTTGAGAAGAATATTATTCTAAGAAATTCCTGTAAAATTATTCTGATATAATTTCTGCTTGGAAATTCAAACTTTAGGTTAAAACGAACATGCTTTAACTATTTATCTTTTTAATATGTCCAATTAACCCATAATCATTAAAAAGATGGACACTTCTAAATTCTAACTAAATAGGCACAGCAAAACCATCCTAATGTTATCCTATTAAAAGATTAAAAAAATCATTATTAATAAATTATTATTATTTTTGATTATTAATATAATTTTAAAGAATTTGATCATGTACTTTTTTAATAGACTAAGGAATAATCAAATTTATTTTTTAATTCAGAATTTAAGATTCTTCATATCCAAATATATTTTCAAATTTCGATTAAGTTTTCTTTACAGTACCAATTTAGTCAATTAAAGTAATATAAACAATACAATTATCTTTTTCGAAAATAGTATAATCTAAATTAATTTCATGCTTATGATTTCGAAATTTTTTAAATATTTTATTTTCAAAATCAAAACTTAAAAACTATATATATTTATTAATATAATATTGCAATTTTTAAGAATTATAATATATTTTGCATAATTAAATAAGTTCATTCTAAATCTCAGTTCTTAATTAAATATATTCTTATGATTATATTTACAATTTTTATAAATCTATATAATCCACACATAAATTTAATAATAGTTTTTGCTTTTGTAAAATAGCTTAATTACATTTTTATTAAATATTATTTAGTTATTAATCGAAGTTTAAGCATATTTTAAATGTTTGGCTTTTTAATGTTTTTTATTCTTTCCTTTCCTATTATATTATAGCTGTTGTAAAAGAAGATTAAGAAGAATATTTCTCTGCTTATTGATTACTTTCGAATATGTTTTTTATATTATTATATATTTCTCCCAAATGGCTTTAATCAATATAGCTTAATTTGTATTTTTATAGGGTATTTATTATTTGTATAAAGCATTAAATTTATGATTCTTTTATTTCAGCATTAAAAGTGATATATGTTAATATTAGCTTTCCATCATAAATATTACTAGTAGGTTTATTTTTTTATAGCTAGTTTATATAAAACTCTTATTTATATGCTTACTAAATATAGTATATTATATGTTATCTTCTTTATTCACTAAATATGCTGTTTTAATACTTTTTTTTTTTAAAAAAAATTATATGTATAACAAATATTATTTAAACTTTTTTAAAGCAAAAACATGTACGAAAATTATCACATAACTTTAAATGGTTAATTTATAAATGTTCTAGA